ATCCTCCTGCCTCAGCCTCCTGAGTGCTGGGATTACAGGCGTGCGCCACACACCCGGCTGTGTCATCCACCTTGTGATGCACCATATGCTACTGATGAGATAAATTTGGTTAGGAGATGATCTTCATGATTTACTCTGGTTCCAAATGTCAAAGCACCCCTGACTATGAATCCACTTTCCTCCTTTTGATATAGGACTTCCATCTAGCAACTCCCAACTTGCTAGATGTTTGCTATCTAGGTTCATGTTCCCCAAAATCAAAGAATGAATTCTGAGGAACCACAGAAGTTAAGAGTAGGAAATTTTATTGAGGGAGAGACAGCTCCTGAAGGAGACAGGAGGGGACCCAGAAAGTGGGTTGCCATGGACTCCACTTTATGGAGGAAGTTTTATAGAGCAAAATCAGGAGGTGGGTTCAAAGGTGGATACAACGTGAGATAAAGCGATGATCAATCAATAAGGTTACAAGTATAGTTGCTTACGTAGTATTGCTTCAATGGGGAAGCAAGTCATGCAGCAAGGGTACAGGGAAAGAACAAGGACCTTTGTGGAAGAGATGGGTCAGGAGGTCCTAGTCACCCACCTGGGTGACTGATTCCTATTTAGAATACCAAATATAGTATATTGTTTATCCCTGGAGAAGGTATGTAGGTGTAGTCATTGCATCCTTATGTGAGGCCTGGCCTTCAACGAATGCACTTCCAGCCACAGTTGTGATGTGTTCTTATCTTCTGCACTGACCTCTTTGAGGGCCCAGCCTCATGTGACTGCCGATAATATTTCCACTTGGCTGTCTGTAATACTTTCAGCCAATCACCTGAGTACAGTCTCTTGAAAATTCAGGCAGGTATACCCCTAGAGAGAATATACAAGAATGTCATATCTTGAAAGTAAGCTATAAATTCAGCCAGTGCCGTTGTTCCTTTTATAGACAGGGCAACAGAACCTAAGGGATTAAGAGACTTACTTTATTTTACTTAAGAGACATAAAGAAGTTTATTAGGCAAAATTTAGTGTATACACTCCAAGGAAGTAGAGTGAAGGACCTCAGAGGAGAGGTACATTGTTGTCTGGAGCTGGGAATGTTTATTATCTTTGGCAATGAGAGTTGTGGATCTATAAAAAATTTGGAATCCATTTAACATAAGTAGAAAGATAATGAATGGCTCGTTTAACAGGTAGAACGATGGCCTGTTTCCAGGAGAAAAGCAAAGGCCAGGCTATTGTTTTTGTTTTTTTTAAGGTGGGTCATCTAAGATGTTTTGCCTAAAAACATTCTTTAAAACCTTTGAATTTGTTTCTCTTAAGGTCAGGTTTGTGTTCTTTATCTTATTAACTAAACTACTTTATAAATGTACAGTATGTGTAAGGAATTTTCAGTGTGATGGGCCTAGAAGAAAAGAAGTATAAATGAGTCTAGGGTATACAGTGCATGTATGAATAGCCTTGTATCCTGAAGTGGCAGTCTTCTTGCAAGTACAATTTATAAATTACGGTTTTCCTTATCTCCTTCTTACCTTGTTTATGTCTTCTATACTCCCTCATTTCTCCCCTAACACTTTGGTTCCTTATTCTTAAGGGACACAAAGGGACCAAAGGCCCATCTTCCTATCCTTGCCTTTCCAGGGATCGAAAGAAGAGACTTACTGTCTATGGCACATTCTATCTTAGGCTGACTGCTCTATTAAGGGAAGAACTAAACCTACAAAGTGAGCTATGCTTTATACCACTCCTACCTGCCCTCATCATATTTCTTTGTCCCAGTTATGTTAGCTGCTAAGGCATCCAACAAAATACTATAGGCTGGATGGTTTAAACAACAGAAATTTATTTCTCACATCTCTACCAGTCTGAGATTCTGGTGAGGCCTGTTTTCCTAGTCATCTCCATACATGGACTTTCTTCTCTTGGGGGACAGGGTGAAGACAGAGACAGAGAGAGACAGAGAGAAAGAGAGAGAGAGCTCCCAAGGATCTTTTCCTCTTCTTACAAAAACGTAAATCCTACCAGATTAGCACTCTAAGATTGTAACCTCATTTAACCTTAATTACCTCCTTACAGGCACTAACTCAATGAGAATTAGGGCTTCAACACAGAAATTTGAGGTGAACACCTATCAGTCTACAATTAATATACTTTTCCTGATAATACTATTCTTTCCAGCCTCTACCTCTTATTACTTAGTACACTAATTCCGGATCTTTTTCCTAGATAAATAATGTGACATATGCAAGTGATATAGTACATATGAGAAAATGTACTGGGAAAGCAAGAGAAAAGTTCTCTAACACAGTATGAAGTTTTCTCAATACAGTGTATATATAAAGAGTCATGGAAAAATAGTTTGATTAAAAGAACACTTAAACAATTCAGTGTGATTTATGATTTCTTAGAATAACACAAGATTTTCTCCTTTTTTTCCAGATTCTCAGGGGAATATTGTGACAAAAATGGAAAATAATATAATGTTTTACTCCAAGAGTAATACTAAAGATGCACTAAAGCTACATTTATGGACAAATGACACAATGAAATCATCATTTTGTGTTAGTGCATCTGCTCAAATATATCTTGTATATGTTTTTGACGATGGGACAATACAACCACAGGAATATCCCTTAATACTAGAATTACAAAGTGTAGCTTTCAGAATGAAAGAAAAATGCCCATACGTGATGTTTCATGATAATATTTCAGAGTCTTTTCACTTTTTGGACAAGGGAAAGAGCCTGAAAGTTTGGGCTGAAATAATCTATCCAGAAAATACTGGTCTAGATATTATCGTGAAAGTTTATGGTCCACAAATATTAGAATATGAAGAATCTTCTCACTATGAAATTGCTTTAGGATACTGCACTAACACCCTGGTGAGTCAACATTTTACATTTCTTCCTTTGATTGTAATTAATATAAAAGTATAATATTCAGTGTTTATATTTTTATATATAGATAGCCCAGAACACCATGTTCCAGAGTGGCAGTGGCTTAGAGAATTTGTTTCTTGGGATTCTGTTCAGAGTGCTCAGTGATCCAGAAACTTGCCCCCTACAGCTAAGAGAGAAGGAAGCCTGGCTACTGCTCTAGCTGGCAGTAGACCTTGGCATCATCCATGTGGTGTTAGTTCTGGGTGCATACAGAATTCAAGAGTTGTGAAGACAGGAAGGCTTCCACCCCTATTTCAGAAGGCCTAGGAGGCAGTGTGCCCCTGAGAGGTCAGTTTGTGAAGCTCTGAGTGTGAATCCAAAGGTGCAGTGAAGACCCCAAAAGGTTGGAGAAGGCGGGAATGTAGACAGTTTGAGGAAAGCTGCAAGAAGAGAGCAAAGCCAGCCAAAGAGAGAAGCCACCCACAAAACCCTTTGGAGTTCACAATTTGCCCCAGATTTCTGGGGCTGCTGGACATGGAAGCACGGAATTTAATGCCTCCCCTGCTGGATTTTGTTCTTGCTTTGTTCTCACTCCTTTTTATACCTTTTGGAATGGAGATGTCTATCTTGTGCCATTGAATATTGGAAGTGCTTAACTTTTCTTTCATTGGTACAGGGGCTCACAGTTAAGAGTTTGCCTTAAATATCAAAGGAGACTTTGGTGACATGGAATTTTCAGGAATGCTGCAACTATTAGGACTTTGGCAATTCCTAGAGAGGGAAATGCATTTAAATGCATTTTGTATAAAGGGATATACATGAGTCTTTGGGGGATCGGGGGTGCACTATTACGGCTTGGCTCTAAGAAGCCTCCCAGAACCTTATGCAGTCATAGGTGGGCTTTTCAGGGGTGTAGGGAGCAGCTGAGCTGGAGGTTGATCACAGATGCAGGACTAGAGTAAGGCCAGCCCCAAGAACATGGAGCACCTGAGGTAAGCCAGACAAACCAGTTGTTAAGCAGGTCCTTTCTTCCATTAGGAGAGGAGTTTCACCTGCTGTCAACCTCTTGCTGATTGTATAAATAAACACACTGCAGTCATTAGGGAGTTCTTTTTCTCCCGTCAGAAGAGAGGCCTCCACCTGACCTCAGCTTTCCACATTCTGACTCCTATGTTCGTTTCTTCATCCTCCACCATCCTCCCCCCAGGAATTTCAAGAGCTACACTGGATGTGGCACAGAGGTGGTTGGATCTAGGGTATATGATGCTGGGAACAAGATGTGATGCTGGGTTTGATTCATGGTGCGATGCTAAGGGTCTGAGTGCCACCTGCCCTAAAGGCAAGTAGCCTAGATAAGATACAGAAAATAGAAAGACAGCTGCTCTTGTCATCACTTCTCACTGATAGCTTGATGCTTTTGCTGCCTTCTGTCTGCAGTGAACTGGTTTTTTTTTTTCTTCTTTATGATGCCCCTCTGACATGTTACCCTGCCTTGAAGCCAGCAGATAATGGATTGAAACCTCTACAAACTATGAGCTAAAGAAATCTTTCCTCCTTTGAGTGTTGGGTATTTTGTCTCAGCAATAAGAAAAATAACCAAGACATATGTTAAGCACTATCTGTATCCACTACTATTCTATCCCTACTACCACCATATTTCATCAATTCTAAGGCACAAGTCTTTTTGTTTATATCTAACATCTCTGAAATCAAGATGTTGTGCTAATTACAACTCAATATTTGTTGAGTCTTTTCTTTCAAATTAAATATATGCATATGCACAAAATTCTCATTCACTGTTTGGATAAATGTGTGTGTAATCCAAATGCCTACCAAGAAGGGGCACCCTATTAACTCTTAAAGTTTTTTCAGACCCCTTCCCAGTCAATCTCAGTCCCCATTTCTTAGAAACAACTCTTCTCACTTTTTCAATCACAGATGAGTTTTGCCTTTTCTAGAACCCCTTAGAAATGGAGTTATACAATAAAACATTTTTCATACTCAACATATTTTTGTGATTCATCCATTTTGCCATATCAGTAATTCTTCCCCTTTAACTGCTGAGTAGTATTTCATTTTATGAATATACCACAGTTGGTCCATTATCCTTTGGCTGGGTATCTGGTTCCTTGCTCTTTGGAGTTAGTATGAAAAGAAATGTGATGAATGGTCTTTCACAAACCCTTTCATAAGCATGTATTTCCATTTCTCTTAACTAACACAGTACTGCAATTGCTGGAGCATAGGTCAGGAAAAGGCTGAAAGAAACTTCTAGACACTTTTCCAAAGTGATTATACCATATAAAATTCCCATCACTAATGTTTGTCCTTCCAGTAGAGCATACTCCCTGTCACCCAGCAACCGGTTTTTCCCATCACCTGGCCAAAAGCTCTCCACGCTGGCTGGCTCTCACATCACCTGCCATTTGAGCCATCTTATTTATATTCATGCTATTGAATTGTTTGAATTAGTTTTATATTCTGAGTATTAGCCACCTATCAGGTGTATGGCTTACAAGTATTTTCTCCTAATATGTGAGTTGTCTCTTTATTCTTGTTTCTTTGCTTTGCAGAAGTGTTTTTTTTTTTAGTTTGATGCAGTCCTATGTGTCTATTTTTGCTTTCATTGCTTGTGCTTTTGTTGTATCAAAGAAATTATAGCCCAGACCAGTGTGTTTTCTTTTAGTAGTTTCATAGTTTCAGGTCCTACATGTAAGTCTTTAGTTCATATTGAGTTGATGTTTATATAGGGGTATAATTTCATACCTGTGTATGTGTCCAATTTTCCCAACATCACTTATTGAAGAGACTGCCCTTTCCCCATTGTATGTTCTAAATACAGTACCTTTGACAACTGATTGTAAACGCATGGACTTTCTCTCCTGTTCCATGGGTCAATGGATCTATTTTTATTCCAGTACTATGTTGTTTTGATTGCAATCACTGTATTATATACTTGAAATCAGAGTGTGTAATGCTTTTAGCTTTGTTCTTTTTGCTCCAAATTGTTTTGGCTATTTGAGGTATTTGTGGTCTCATACAGATTTTAGTGTTGCTTTTCCTGTATCTGTGAAAAATAGCACTGGAATTTGTTATAGAGATTGATTCTATAGATCACTGTGTAGGATTTTTAAAATATTAATTCTTTGAGTAATATTCACTAAAACATTAACATTTTAAAAATATTAATTATTTGAGTACATGAACATGGGATATCTTTCCAATTTATATTTTCTTTAGTTTCTCCCATCAGTGTTTTATACCTTTTAGTATATACGTAGATCTTTCACCTCTTTAATGAAATTTATAACTAAGTATTTTTGATAGTATAAGAAACGACATTTTAAAAATTCTTTTTCAGCTATAAAGAAAGATAAACTTGAGGCTTTTATAGGTAATGGATGCAACTTGAGACTATACTCATAAGTGAAATAAATCAGACTTGCATGTGTAAACATTATATTGTCTCTCTAGTGTAAAAAAACTGAAAGAGTAAATAAGATCCAAAATGCACAATAGATATTGTGAAAGGGAAAGAAACTGCTTAAAAGGAAAGAGGAACTGGGATGGGAGAAAGGAGAAAAGAAGAAAGCAAAAGATAAATATACTATTAATTTCTATTATTTCATTAAAAAGATTTGTACTTATATTGTTTTATTAATCTTTCATGCCTATATCTTATAAGCTGAGCAACTACTTTGAAGCTAATAATTTGTACTATATTAACCATTGTTGGGCCCCCATTTTCTTGATTTCAAATCTATTTTTATTTTTTTTTCTCTTTAAAATAAAAAAATTCTTTTTTAGGTAGTTCATTGTTAGTACATAGAAATGCTACTGATATTGCTATGTTGGTTTCTCATCCTATGGCTTCTCGTTATGGTTTTAGTGAGCATTTCCCTGGTGCTTGTCTGATGACTAATGATATAGACCACTTTTCAAGTGTTTGTTTGCTATCTTTAAATCTTTACTGAAGTATCTGTTGAAATCTTTTGCTTAGCTTTAAGGGACTGTCTTCTTATTAATAAGTAGTAAGAATTTTAAAATATATAGTCAACATATAAATAGGTTGTCAGATATGTGTTTTGAAAATATGTTTACCAACTGTGTGGCATATCTTTTCATTTTAATGATATATTTCTTTTGAAAAGCAAAAGTTTTTTATGAAATCCAATTTATTGCTTTTTTCTTTTACATCAAATGCAAATCAGTAAAATTGTCTTATTTTTCTATGTATATGTAACCAACTCTTTCAGAAGCATGTTATAAACATTGCCCTTTTCCCCCAGAAATTGTCTTAGTACTTTTATAAAAATATCAATTCACCCTTTAGATGGGAGTTTGACTCTATTCAGTTCAGTTGCTGTACATGTTCATCTCTATGTCAATACCACACTCTTGATTACTGTAGCTTTATAATAATTATTAAAATTCAGCCTTGTCCATTTCCTAAATTTATTCTTTTCAGTGTACAGATTTGCAGGTTGTTTGTTGGATTCATTCCCAAGCATCTCACATTTTTGATGCTATTATAAATGGAAATGTTCTGCTTATTTATCACTATTATGTGGAAATATGATTGATATATATGTGCTATATATATGTAGTATGTATACTGTACATATATATGATGTAATACCATGACACTTTAGTTCACAAACTTAATTCTTTCCCCAATTCTAGTCACAAACCAAATTGGACAAGAACCAGATCAAATTTCCCCAAAAGTTCAACATTGAAAGTAACCATTAAATTTGATTCAGTTCTTGTCAAATTTGTTTTGCAACCATAATTGTGAAAAGAATTAAATTCAGGGGCTGGGGATTTAGCTCAGTGGCAAAGCACCTGCCTGGCAAGCACAAGGTTGTGAGTTCGATTCCTGGTACCAGAAGAAAAATGAAAAACGAAAAAAACAACAAAAAGAATTAAATTCATTAACTGAGGTACCACTGCATGATATAGGTGTGGTATATATGATATATATGATATGCATATGATATATA